AGTACTTTCCTTGTGTCTTTGGTGTTCTTCATTCTCCTTTACTCCAGGTGGTTGGGACCAATTGACGGATCTTAGATGGCCGCTTACAAGCTTTTAAGACTCCAGACGCCACTCACCAAAGTAGGATTCCTGTAGTTTTTATGTAGGAGAGGTTTGGGCTAGGTCATACGGTATGCACATCTTCAACTTCACTCCTCAAACCAAACCAAATCCACTGCCGTCGAGTGGATTCCAACTCACAGCGGCCCTATAGGACAGAGTAGAAGTGGCCTGTAGGGCTTCCAAGGCTGTAAATCTCTACGGAAGCAGACTGCCACATCTTTCTCCCACGGAGCAGATGGTAAGTTCCAACCGCTGATCTTTTGCTTGGCAGTCAAGTGCTTTAACCATTGCGCTACCAGGGCTCCGATTCAGCTTCACTGTGTCAAATTATTTTCCAAAGTGATTACATCAGTGGTACCAATTTGCATTCCCAGCAGTAGTACGTGTTCTAGTTGCTCTCTATCTTCACCCACACTTGATATTTACAGACTTTGTGTGTGTGTGCTAATCTGTAAAACAGGATCTCACTGTGCTTTAAAATGTGGTTGGATTTGCATTTCCCAATTGCTAATGATGTTGAGCATCTTGTTGTATGTTTATTGGCCGTTTCCATTTCCTCTTTTGTGAAGCGCCTATTCATTTGCCCAAGTTTCATCTGTTGCTTTATCTTTTTCACACTGACTTGTAGGAATTCTTTACATACCCTGGGCATTAATTCAACGTTGGTTTTGACAAATCCTTTGTTAAACACGAATATGTCTTATCTCCAGCTAAATTGTTAGTCCTGGAGCCCTGTGGTGCAGTGGTTAAGAGCTTGGCTGCTGACCAAAAGATTGGTAGTTCAAATCCACCTGCCACTCCTTGGAAACCCTATGAGGCAGTTCTACTCTGTTCTATAGGGTCTTTAAGATTACACCTTCCTATGTCCCTTGTAGCTCTCTGTACATCCATCAAAAGTGCTGCAGGCACAGAGCATGCTCTATAAATACTCATTGATGGAAGTGATGATTTTTCAGGGGCCAGGGAAGGGAAGGTTATAGGATGGGTTTTTGTTTGTTTGTTTTCTTTGTTTTGACGTCTTTTTTAGAGACCCAATCACAACAGTGCAGATCAAGAATGTTGAGTTGTCAGATTTTGATACATCCGGAGGACGGCATGGACGCATCGCTATGAACTCGCTGCTCTCTCATTGGTAGCAGGTGCTGGTAAGATTTGTCATTTGCCCCAGGTGTTGCCTTGCTGTCGCCTGCGCGTGCGCTGGGTCTCTCCAACCGCGAGGGAAGCTCTCAGAAGGGCCAGGTTCCATCCATTTAAGCCACTCCAGCCCTGGTACCCAGCCAAGCACTCCGTTCCTTACAGATTTACTTGTAGGGCGACCGAAATACGAGGGAACGCTGCTGTACTAGGAATTCCAGCCAGGGAGGTGGAAATGCCCATTGCGCCGGGGTGGTATTTTAGCTGTAGCATTCAGGACAAGCCACAAGCCTCCTACCCTCGCCTCCCGTGCGCTGAGAAATCAATGGAGAATGAGCAGAAGTGTCTTGGGGAGGGAAGTGGGGATCCGCTAAAAGCTTTAGAGGTGACCCTGGGCGGGGTGGGCTGGAGCATGGAGAGGCTTCAGCGGGATCGCCGTTTGCTCTCTGCTCTGCTTCACAGGTATGGGGGTGGGACCAACAGGACTTTGGAACCTGTTGCTCGAGGTGTTGAAGTAAGAGGGCGCAGGGTCAACAGGCGCTCTTGGCGCAACAGCAGGCCGCGGCCAGCCGAGCCCGCCCAGCCACCCCCGCCTCCCGGCCGTGGTGCGGGCACACCGCACACACACCCCCACCGCCTCGCAGTCCAAGTCTGCTGCCCCCAGGGCAGGGGCGGCCCCAACCGCCGAGGGCAGGGGCGCGTCACGGCGCCCGCTCCCGATTGGCCGGAGGCGCGGTCACCGCCCGGCGCTCGGGGATTGGCGCCGCCCGAGGCCAGAGCAGGAGTAACCGGGCCCCGCGGCTGGTTGCAGTCCTGAAGCCCGAGGGGCTGGCGTCGGCTCGGAGTCGGAAGCCGCGGGGTGGGAGGCCGGCCGTGACGCACGCACCATGCCCTACCTGCTCATCAGCACCCAGATCCGCATGGTGAGTACCGGCCGCCGGTGAGTTCCAGCCGCGCCTGGGCCCCAGGGTGGCAGCGCCCACCGGTGGCTGGACCCCGAGCCCCCCTGGGGCACGCCTCCTCGGGCCGCCAGGAGGGAAACTGGGGCTGCGGACTAAGCCCTGCTCCGACGCCCAAGACTCAGGAAGCTCTGGCCCGCCCGGAGCCTCCATGGCCGCGAAGGGGGCTGGGTGCATGCGTCCCGGCGATGGAGCGACCTCTGGCGCCTCCAGTCCTACCGGTCCGGTAGCTCCGAGCCTCCGGGAGCGACCCAGAGAGCCCTGGCCCCACACAGAGCCGCTCCGCAGGAAAAAAGAGAGAAACAGCCTTGGAAAAGAAAAGGACGCGGTAACGCGCTGAAACACCTGTGCCGAGTCCCTGGCTCACACACAGCCACTAAATGCACCTTTAGGCGCTTCCAGGAAGGGCTTAACTTCAGAATGATGTGGCTGGGTTTCCTAGCTGGGCAGCTGGATGCCCCTCTCCCCCTCTCACGCCCCCGTGCTCAGGTGATCCATCAGAGGGTACACAGCTCTCCTGGGGTGAAGGAAACAGCAGGCGGTCACCCCATGGCCAGGAGAGGTCTTGGCGGTGCCCTAGGGCGGTTGTTTAAGCAGCCCCTGAGGAGTGGTTAAAATGCGGCTTCCTGGGCCCCTTTCTAGCCCTCCTGAGACAGTCTAGGTGTGGGTCCTGGACTCCTGCCCTCAGGTGATTCTTTTTTCTTTTCCTTTGAAAAATATAACAGCTTTATTGAGACAATTCACACAGCACACAATTCACCCATTTGAAGTATACAATGCACAATAGTATATTCAGAGTTGTGTGACCGTCACCATCATTTTAGAACATTTTATCACCCCAAAAGGAAAGTCCATACCCGTTAGCAGTCACTCCCCTTTTCGCTCAGTCCCCATCCCCCAGCCCTAGTCAATGGCTCATCAACCTTCTGTCCCCAGATTTGCCTCTTCTGGGCGTTCATAGAAATGAAACCATACAGTACATGGTCTTCTGTGTCTGGCTTCTCTCCTTCCGCGTGTTTTAAAGGTTCAACCATATGGATGCGTGTATCAGTACTTCATCCTTTCATTGCCGAATGATATTCCATAGCTATACCAAGTTTTATTTATCCATTCACTTTTTGAAGGGCATTTGGGTTATTTCCACTTTTTGGCTATTTTGAATAATGCCGCCATAAACATTCATGTACACGATTTTGTGTGGACATTTGTTTGCATTTCTTTTGTTCCCTAGGTGATTCTGACACACACAAACATGGGTGGTGGGGCCTAGCGGGAAGGTGCCACTATTCAGGCAATGCCCAGCTCAGCTTAGAGGGGGCTAGGGAAGCCCCCATTGCCAGCCGGGTTGTGGGATCACTGACAAGCTGCACCCCTTCCTTCCCAGTTTGTGTCAGCCCCCCAAGGGTCCTTCCCCCTCCTCCAGCCTTTAACAGAAGCTGGTCAGGACCTGCAGGCAGGGCGGAAGCAGAGGTGAGGCCTTCCATCTCTGCCTGGCAGCCAACTAAGCCACTGTGGCTTCCCTTGCAGGAGGTGGGCCCCACCATGGTCGGGGACGAGCACTCGGACCCGGAGCTGATGCAGCATCTCGGGGCCTCAAAGAGAAGCGTCCTGGGAAACAACTTGTAAGTCATGGAATCCCTCAGTGCCTTCTCCCTGCCAGCTCCTAGACTTGCCCCTGGTCCCTTTACACAACCACCAAACCCAGGGCCCGCGCCACTGCCCAGCCTCGGGGCCCGTCTGCCTGTGCCCTGGGCTCTGTTCTCTGTAGGGTCCATCCTGTACCCCCAGCACCTGCTCGCTCTGCAAGCTTTCCCGCTGGCCCTCCCTTCACGAGGCGTCCTTAGAACACCAGCACAGAGTCCAGTTCGCTGGGTATGGGACTCCATAAGCAGATGCTTCTTGCTCTGCCCTTACAGCGCTAAGCTGGACCCTCAAGGCAAAGGTAGGCACAGAGAGGAGGATTTCTGTCTCAGAAATAGCTGGGTGAGTCATGACACCAAGCCCTAGAAATGGAGAGCAGGAAGCCTGGACCCCACTTCAGCTGCCTGGGGACTCGGCTGTTCCCTGGGCATCCTTCACACCACCGCCATGTAAACTGTGCTCGTGGCTCCCTCACCCCTCCCGCCCTGTGTGGGGAGAAGCCTGGCTCGGAACTCCTGAGAGGAGCTGCCAGAGGGAGTCTCAAGTTCAAAGGGGAAAGAGAAGGCGAGCTGATCCCAGCCCTTATATCAAGGTTGCAGGCAGAAGCCAACCGCTAACCCTTTGTTGGGAGGGGTTTGCCTTGAGATGGCTGGCCTGGGGCTTTCAGCCTTGATCTGCTCACTGGCCCCCAGCATTAACTAGCCTGAAAGAAGGGGAGCCCAGCATTCCTGATGCCAGCAGCAGCTGCAGAGTCGGGAGCTGGTCAACCTGGACCTCGTTGCTCCAGGACTCAGGACTCGGGCAGAGGAGCCATCCGGGAGAGCAGGCCACGCTTTCTGACCTGTGGTGGCTAAAGGCACGCATGGCTGCTGTCAGGCTAACGCAGGTCCTACTGCCTGACACTGGGAAAGCTTTCTCGCTTATAGAATGGGGACAGTTACAGTCCCTCGTTAGGTTGTTGGGATAAGTGCGATTTTGCGTGTAAAGTGCTCAGCGGGGAGGGCTGGGGGCCATGCTCGGCCAGGCGCGTGAAGCACCTAGATGTCAGGACTGAGTGTTCCCGGCACCGCTGTGCCTGAGGCCGACCTAGCTTTGTACACGGAGCTTGCTCTGTGTGCCCCTCAGGCCACCCCTGCCTGGTCTCTTCGCAGCTGTGAGTACTACGTCAACGACCCTCCTCGCATAGTCCTGGACAAGCTGGAGCGCAGGGGCTTCCGTGTGCTGAGCATGACAGGGGTGGGCCAGACGCTGGTGTGGTGTCTGCACAAGGAGTGAGCTGCAGGAGCCGACTGGTTTGGAGCGGCAACCGTGGGCCCAGGCCTGCCTCACCGACCACCCTGCTCCTCTTCCCAGACCGTCACTGGCCTCGGTCCGGCACCGATGGGCAGGGACGGCTTTCTCTGACACCCGGCCTCAGTCAGTCAGGGAGGGCAGGGCCCCTAGCCTGGTGCTCCCGAAGGCCCTGGAGTATGCCATGTTCTGTGGGCAGCATGAGGGGCCCAGCCCAGAGCCTGGCACCCCAGTCTGGGACGCCCAGGCTGCGTCCTGTGTAGCTAGTCCAACAAGCTAATAAAGGGCTGTGATGAATGGTTGCTCTTCTGCTCTGCTTACCACCGACTCTCACTACTGGAGCCCTTCCCTGGGGTCAGCCCGCTCCCGGAGAGGAGACCCGGGCCTGCTTGGAGGGAGGCCTCTGAGGCAGAGCCCTGACACCAGGGCCGTGCTCGGGCAGGTAGCACCCTACACCCGTGTACGTAATAGGCACAAACTCTTAAAAAACAAAGTTTATTGGTGATGTTTAAGAAAAGAGATGCACGGTGGGAGGGGCTGGAGCCCGGGGCTACGTGGGTGGCCCCTCCTTGTCCTCTTGCTCCATCCGGGCGATCAGCTGCTGCCGTTCGGCTGCCTGGCGCATGCGCATCATGACGAGGCTCTCATAGTCCCTCTCGGACAGCACTGAGCCCTGGTGGGTAGAGCAGGGACACCGGTCAGGGACACAGGACACAGCCCCAGAGACTCCAGGCTTCAGAGGATGGCGTCTAGGGTCAAGGACGGAGGTGGGCAGGGGTGCCCAGGAAAGCAGCAGGGAGCATCTAGAATACAGACTCATTCAGTCCTTCAAAACAGGCCGGCCTTGGGCCTCCAGGCTGGCTTCTCCCATCCGGCACCCCCTCCAGCCCATCTCAGTTAAGCCCGGCCCCGTCGCCCCGGCCCTCAGCATCTGCAGTCAGCTCTGCAGTCAGCTCTGGCTCACCTCTGTGTGAATCACTTCCCTGCTCTAGCCAGGGCCTCATCACCATTTCCTCTCAGCCCTTTAACACCCCTTCTTCCCCACCACGGGTCTGCCTCTCACAGGCTTCTGACGAAGTTGTCAGGTGCACAGAGTCGTTTGCCCAGTAGAGGTGACAGCACTGTCCGTTCCCGGCTCCCTGTCTTCCCTGTGGTTTGGCTCCGCTGAGGAGGCAGGAGAAGGGAGCCCTACCCTAGACATGGCCTCAAACAGTCCCACCCTAGGAGAGATAAACAAGCTGGGTCCGGCTGGCCTCCTAAAAATACATACCAGGCCTCCTGGAGGGCAGGGCCCCTGGCTTTTTCTTTTATGACCTTGCCAGCTTGGTGCGGGGGATTAAGGAGTGCTATGTTTTAATAATCAAAAGAATAACAAACAACCTTCTCAATGGGCTGAGGCTATGGGGTGGAGAAGCAGCTCTGCAGCAGAACCGGAGCTGCCAACCCCACGCCCTGATAAGGTCTGCAGTGGGAATTCAATCACTTCCTCCCTCTGCGGCTGAAGCTGTGTGAAGCCCACCTGAGTTGGCACGGGTGGGAGGGGGGCACCGAGCCAGGGGTTGCAAGATGCTTGGCCCTCCGTCAGGGGAGCAGGCTGCTGGGCCCTGTTCCACACTGGCACGCTCATGGAACAAACCAGGAAGGAAGCTTGGTGGTCAGTGACCCAGGAAATAAGAAGGGAGTGGCTGGGACTAAGAGGCCAAGCCCTGGCCAACTGGTTTGGAGTAAGGGCTGTAGAGAAACAGGAAGTATTACTCAGCCTGGACTCCCCCTGCCTCCTCCCACCTGCTCCACCCCTCCTCCTCTCTCCATCCCAGCCAGGCCACCTAAGCTGGACTCCTAGCACCAATGACCACTCCTGACAGCCCTCAAGGTGGTCTCGCCTCCTCCAGAGGACGGAGCCCAAACGGGGCCCAGGCCCCAGAGGGGAAGGACTAGAGTGCACGGGAAGGAGGCAGCAGGACCCTGGCCTTGAACCCCGGCTTTGAGCTGGTTCGACCCCCTGCTGAGAATCTGCATTTCCACCTCAGAATCTGCATCTTAACAAATCCCCAGGTGATTCTGCGCCTGCCAGGAGGCCGTCTGGAGAAAGCTAGGGAGGATGAGAAAGTGGGCGCCCAGGCTGGTGTCCCCTCCCCAGGTTAGCCTGCTCTGCCAGGGAAACCTGCAGTCACCCATGGCATGCCCCCAACCAGTCCTGGGAGGAGCTGAGCCCTTACAGGCATGGGGCCGCTCCCCCTCACACACCCTCTGCCCCTTCCCCCATACCTGCAGGCCCTGCTAATGAGGGCCTACCACCAGGCTCTGGGGCTGAGTCACCCACACTAGCGACCAGTTTCTCTTCCTTCCCCCATCACGGCTCCATGCTCCTGCCTTTCAGTAAGCTCCCGCCCTCCCTAGGCTCTTCCTTCCCAGACACACTGGGCTGGGCAGCCAGGCCCGTGGTGGCAGGAGCCTGATAAGAAAGGAAGCAGAGGTGACACATCAAGCAGGGCTGCCCCCAGACCAGTCCTCGGTGGAATCTGGGGCTCCCCACTGCCCTGGGGTGTGGGCCACAGCCGCCCCAAGCCCTGCACGTGGATGCTGCAATTACCTCTGAGCGTGAAACCCGGCTTCCCACTTGGCTGAGTCAGCCAAACACAAAGCACCTCGCCACCGCCACACGCCTGCACACACAGCCAAGCCACCAACCAGCGTCCAGGCAGTGCCGGCACTGCCCTAGAGACCAACAAGGGGCCAAAGAAACCACCAGACAGGGACACCCCCACTGTCCGTCCGACCCCTCCGCCTACGCAGGCCCCAGCCCGGCCCCTTGGACCCAGCACACTGGCTGGCCTGGCCCAGCCTGTGAAGACTCTTCTCTGACACCACAAGGCTGTCCTGACTCAGCTCCAGTAAGTGCTTCTCCTGCCTCTTGGGGTTTTTCCAGGGTTCCTCTGGGAAGCGCCTGCCTCTTCAGGAACTCCCAGCTTTCTGCTGTCCCGGACAGAAATGTGCCTCTGCTCTGGGCCTTGTCCCACCCTCCGAGATGCTGGCCAAAGGGCTGTGCTGAGCAGACACCCAGGGGCCTCTGCTTCTGGCCCACTAAGCCCTTCTCCCTGAATCTTGCAATTCACAGCTCCAGCTGGGCCCAGATGGTCACTAGCTGCTCCTGAACATCTGTCCACCGGGCTTCTGAGGGCCAGGCTTGTCTGCTGGCTCCCTGGGGCCCATGGAGACCTGGTGGAAAGGCTCCTTCCACAACACCTCCTTCTTCAAGCGGCTGAGCCTAAGGCGGCCGAGGCGACCACGGCAACAGAGCAGTGTGCCCAGCCAGGCCAGCACAGCTGGTGGTGACCATGAGGAATACAGCAACCGAGAGGTCATCCGGGAGCTGCGAGGGAGGCCAGACAGCCGGCGCCTCCCACTGTTGGGGGACGAGCAGCCCCGGGCCACGCTGCAGGCCCCACCCAAGCCCCCGCGCCTTTACCGAGAGACCTCCAGCTGCCCCAACATCCCGGAGCCCCCAGCCTCCTACACTGCTGCCTACCCTGCTACCCTGCCCTCGGCCCTCTCGCTGGCAGGCGCCCTCCACCAGTACTCGGAGGAGGGCCCTCTGGACACTGCCCCCTTCCAGGAGACGCCTGCCCCGGACCTCAGTGACCCCTTCTTCTCCTTCAAAGTGGACCTGGGGATTTCACTTCTCGAGGAAGTTCTACAGATTCTGAGGGAGCAATTGCCCAGTGAAGCCAGCTTCTGAATGAGGATGGGAAGAGGTGGGTGACCGTAACAGCTGGAAGCCTGGGGCCCAGGGGGTACAGTGGTGGACTGCGGAGAAGCTGGGGACAGGACCCCAGGCTCTGCCTGCCCTCTGGGCCCTGAAGAGTCACCCCAGAGTAGGGGGACAGAGGCGCAGAGGCAAGCTGGCAGGAACACTGAAGGAAGCTGGCGAGGCCGGGAGAGAAGACCGCACCCCGTAACCACAACACGCAGGCAGAGAGCCAGCAGAGGGCGAGGACGGCAGTGGGCACGCAGACTGAGCAGGACAGACGGTGCTGCTGTCGACAGAGAGGCCAGGAAAAGTTGGGGCAAAAGTGGTCCAACCCAAGCCAGAGAGGAAACGGGTGAGCCGGGCTTGGCCTGCACCTTCCAATGTGGTAGTCACTCGTTACATGTGACCATTTAAATTTAATTGAAATGAAATAAAATGAAAAATTCAGTTCCTCAGCTGCACTAGCCACATTTCAAACGCTCAGTAGCCGCGTATGGCTAGTGGCTACCACGCCGGGCAGCGCAGAACGGACGTCGACACTACTGCAGGAAGTTCTACGGGGCAGCGCCGGGCCAGACCGAGGCCTGGAGCCACCAGTGGCACTGATGGGGGAAGGGAGAACGGTGTGGGGGCTGCAAGGGGCAGGAGGGGCGGGCAGAGTAGGAAGAGACAGGCAGGGGGAGATACAGAGTATTACTCAGGAAAAAGGCCAACACCAACCGAGAGCCCAACAGGGGACCTGAGAGACTCAACCCGCCAGCACAGCTGTTGAGAGCAATCCCTGGTGCCCAAGGGAAGCAGCTCTGGGAATGTCAGCCAAAGGCATCAGACACAGCTTGCAAAGAGGGGCTCTGGAGAATTCCCAGAATTACTAGTGATGGGAGCCCTTGGGAAATGCAGCAAAAACAGTGGCAGATTTCCCTCCTCCCTCCCCACAAGCCTAGAGGAGAGGACTAGATCAGGGGATGGATAAGCGGCACGGTTGGTCTCCAGAAGCTTCCACCAGGACTGGGGAGCTCTGCCTTGCCTGAACCCTCTGATGAGGGGCCTGCTAACCAGGCGGTGTGGCTGTCCTGCCTCGTGGCCTGGCTGGAAGTCTTGAAACGAGGCCCCATAAGTTCTCTCCTGGGCTGTGTGGGTCTGACCCCCAGGCCTCTCCAAGTGAGGAGAGAGATGTACCCACAGCCCACGCCTGCAGCCTCCCTCTTTCCTCGTCCTCTTGTGTGGATTTCCCAGCAGCAAGGCTCCTCTGTGAATGCCGGAGATAATGAATAAAATGCTTATAACACAACCTGGAGAGTGTCACCTGGGGCTGTGAAGTGCTGGGACTTAAGGTAGGGGGATGAGGTCTCTAAGAAAGGTCCTGAGTCGGGCTCAGAACCAGTTCATTTCCCTCCCCTGTCAGGGTCTGGGACACACTCCCAGGAAGCTTCCCATCCTCACTCCATGTGGAGGGGCCCTAGGAGGCAGGGCTGGGCTGCCGGGCAACGGAGCAGAGATCCTGCCACCTGCTGGAGGAAGCTATAACCCATCAATCTGACGCTCACCCACAGACCGTCCCCCTCCCCACCCCCTCCCATGATTTCAGAGAAGAGCCAGACTTCCAGATCCTGCCTTCAAAGCTTTCTTGTCCCACCAAAGCAAGGGCAGGTGGGGCCTGGGGCAGATGAGGCCTGGGGCAGGTGGGGCCTGGGGCAAGCTGGGCCTGGGGGCAGGTAGGGCCAGGTGCCAGGTGGCCCAAGCCCTGCATCCAGGGCCATGGAGGGCTGAATAAAAGCCTTCATGAAGCTGTGAGGACTACGTGTTTGTGCTGGGCACACGTCAGCTGGAAGGTCTATATTCTTCACCACAAGTTGGGCGCCCAGACTCGGGCAGGCAGCATCCCAGTGTCAGCAGGGTAGCCGGAGGAATATTGCCTCGACACTGGTCCCTGTCTGGGGCAGCCACAGGCGTTATCCGGGAAAATGAAGCACTGGGGAAGGAAGCGGCTGCCTAGTCACCTGCTTCTTCCCTGCAGTACTGGAGCCTCTAGGTAACAAATGTTCCACACCAGAACCAAGCCACCTGGAGGCCATCCCTTTGGGTGATGGTGGGAGCCTGGATGTGGAGGGAAGCTAAAGTCTAAGGATGCTGCATAGGGTAGGGTCCCCAGGGCACTCAGAGAGGAAAGGGGGTCACAGAATCACAGCCCTTCTCACTGTGTTCCCTGACAACCCGAATTTGGGAGAAAGGGTCCCGAGAAAAGCCCAAACAGGATGTGGTCCCCCAAACCCAGAGCAGGCCCAGTTTGATGAGGACTGGCCCTTTACCTGTGACAGTCCTGGGTGGCTGGGGTCCACCGTGCCCTGGGGCTGTCCTTCCAACCAGGAGATCTTCAGAGGGTTATCGACCAGGCCCACCTCATTCTGGACAGCCAGCTCCTGCCAAACAGAGCATCCAGTCCTGGTTCCCACCAACCCAATCAGCTATGAAGTGGCTCTCTCCACCCCACAGAAAGAACCAGAACCAGCATTCGAGTTGTCCAAGCAGAGTCAGGCAACCCCAGCAACCTTCAAACAATGGTGTGCTGAAGCTCTGGTCCCTCTCGTGGGCGAGCGCTGGGCGTGAGCCTTCTGAATTTCAGGAGAGGAAGTAAGCAGAGCTGAAGCCGACAAGCTGGGGGGGTGCTGTCTCCCACTGGAGGAGGTGGGCATGGAGGCTGCAGCCAGCAAGCAGGGAAAAGTCTGCACTCTCCCTCAGCCCCCAGGGCGTCTCCCATCCAGCCCTTCATGCAGTGCGTCTACTCCTGAGAGTCGGGTAGGGGGTTCCGGGGAGCCGGGATCTGACCTGGCCCAGAGCTCCCTGGAAGTGTGGATCACCTGAGCTCAGAGGGTCCACAGAATCCGGTCCCCTGATCTAGAGTGACAGGGCTGCCAATGGCCCCCAAAGCCTCGTGCAGCACTCACCGCAGCCTTAACGGTCGCGAACTCCACCACTGCAGAGCCTGCCTTCTTCTTGGAAAGCACCAGGTTGAGAACCTCACCATACTGCGGGGACAAGAGAGGTCCCGGTAAGCGTGGTTTGGCCTTTGGCACCGACCAGCTCATGCCAGAGACAAGCCCGGGCTCCTGAGGCCCGCTGGGGCACTGTCCGCCGCAGCATAACTTCTTCTTTTTTTTTTTTTTTAATTGTTGTTGTAAATATATATATCACAAAACAATTGCCGATGTGACATTTTCCATGTGTATTATTTAGTGATATCAATGTACATTAATCGCGTTGTGCAACCCTCACCGTAATCACTGTCACATTTTGAGGGATAACTTATTATCAGGATCCCAGAGAAGAGAGATCAGAGATGGGAAAGAAAGGAATTTTTTCCAGGAATGCAGACAGACAGCAAAAAAGAGCTGGGCAAAGGACTGGGGACATGGTAGACTGGCAGAAAGGCCCAGTGGCCTCGGTGGGCTGGAGGTGAAGTGGGTCGCCTTTCACGTCAGATCCCGCCTCCCCTTCCCAACACTCTCAGCCAAGGCTTCTGCTTCCTAACGAATGGCCAGGGCTCGGCCGAGGCAGTGAAGGACAGGACGGCTGGAGGGGACCCAGGGTACACAGTGACAGGAGAACCGAGGCCTGGGAGAAGTCTCCAGGCTGCCCGATGGTCTACAAGACAGACAAAAAAAGGTAGGTAGACATGTTCAGGGAAGTCCAGGCATGGAGCGTAACCTGGGCTCTGGGCCGAGAGGATGGGGAAAGAAGGGAAGTCAGCAGGTAGACCTTCTGAAGAAGCCGCAGGAGGACATCTCTGGAGTAGCCACCTTTTGACTCGTCCTCCTTCCTGCACTTCCATTTTAGCTGAAAAGACAGCAGTGGGCGTCATCACTAAACACGGACCTTTGGCTTACAGTCTGAGCAGACACTCGCCTCGTCTTCAAGGAGGACCCCCCCAGAAACATTGCCCCTTGAACTCTGGTGGGCAGAGTGTCCTCTCCCCCTCTGCAATGCGCCCCGCCCTTAGAGAGCTTCTAGGGGGCGCTCTGCTCTGCTGCCGTCAGGGTTGAGAGCAGCCTTCCACGGCAGAGCTCACAGAGGAAGCTGACTCCCAGAAGCTGTAGAAGGGAAAGGATGGGGCAGTGGGTCCCCAGAGCCCTAGCATCCCCAGCCAGAACCCCCTGAGCCACAGGAAGCATCCGTTCTTGCTAGAGGAGGGGGTGTGAGGTGGCCCATGGATCCCACTAGGACTCACCTTTAGTTTGGGGGTTGCTTTGCCTTCAGTATTCTCTGCCTTTCCTAGAAAAATTGGGAAAAGAAGCAAGGTAGAGTATGAGGGAGTCAGAGGTTGTCCCAGAGATGACAAAGCCCAGAGGCAAGAAGGACCTAGTAAAGGTCACTCCTGACCACAGGCAGTATGTGTCCTGCCCTGGTGAGGGGCCTGGTGGGGACGTAGATGCCATCCCACCCCATCCCAGAGAGCTGCCACTCCAGGTGAGGTCTGCCCAGCTGCCTGTTACAGGGCACCCATGATTAGCACTCTCCACATGAAGTGCTGTGAACACCTCTGGGGGAGTTTGGGGGAGCAGGAGGTAGAGATATAAACCACACAATTCTACTGAAACAAGGTATTCCAGAGCCCTTTCCCCTGGTCATCTGCTCCAAAATAAAGCTAGCTGGCTAGGGACGAAGACAAACGGGGCCAGGAAGCCGGAGGCAGAGCGGAAAGCAGGCCCCAGAGAAGCAGTGGGAAGAAGAGACAGGTGCGTGTGTCAGGGCCAGGGTGCCATCGAGGTTCCGGCAGCCGGAAGCCCCACAGCTCCTCCACTCAGCAGCCAGTGTGCCCACTCCGGGCAGGTGGGTGTGACCAGCTCTCACCTCGCAATCTCTGTTCCCGCTCCTGGCGTATCTGCTCCTGGATCAGCCTCTGCTGTTCCTCCAGCTGCCGGGAACCTTCCTCTCGCAGGCGTTCGATCTGCAGAGCAGGGGTTGGGGATGACAACTCTGTGCAGATCCAGTTCCAAGTTTTCTCACCTTGTAAAGGTCCCTGACTTCCACCTGTAGGCTAGGGCTCAGCAACCTGTGGGCAGGACAGATTACCCAGATCCCCCAGAAGAAAGAGCATGTCCTCCCCGCCAGCGACAGCCACCTCCTCCCCAGCAGATGGCCTCAGGCCTGGCCGCTCACCTCTTGCTCCAGTGTCCTGGTGCTCCTTGTCTCCTCCTCCTCCTCATTCCCGTGGGCCTGCGCCTCCCGCTCCCGGGCCTCCAGGTCTAGGCACAAGGGTCGAAGGACCCAATTGCTGGTCCAAGCAATCTCGACATGGCCTCAGCCCACCCCAGCTCTGGCTGCTCCCCTGAAGTCCCACACAGGACAAAACCATCCAGTAGCCCTGCCTCCTCGCTCCATGCCCACACGCCCTCGAGTTGATTTCCACCGAGAGAAGTCATTGCACAGAAGAAGTGTGGGCTCAGCTGTGGCTTGCCCTAACCAAGCTGGTTCTCCCCAGTCAGTGCCCAGGGTGGGGGTGGGTAGTGTGTCAGCAGCCCCGGGCCACGTGTCAGGGGATGCCGGTGGGCGGAGCGGCTGGCCTCTGCTCCTGAGCTCTGGCGCCACAGCCTGACCTGGGACCCCTTTTGTCTCTGATTCTTTTCCTACCACTTAGCTGAGCTCCCGCCCCCGCCTCATCTTCACCAAGCCTCACGGGGGCCCTGGCTACAGTGGCTCCTGCCCATGTGAGCAGATTCTCTGTGAGGGCATCACCCTGGGTCCTTCCCACCTTCCAAGGGAAACCTGCTTGCTGCCCCAGGCCAGGCCAGCTGCTATGACGACCTTCTCTCAGGCTGGGACTCGCTGCTTCCTTCCTGTGTTCTTTACTTACCTACAACCTACCTTTTTTTTTTTTTTTTTCTGTAAAGAAATGGTACTACTGCGATGGCATATACACATATAAAATATATGGATATGAATAAGCAAGAAGAGGTGCTAACTGAGTAAAGAAATGCCTTGATCAATCTTACCGGGGTGATGAAAATGTTCTAAAACTGATTTATGGCCACAGTTGCACCACTCAGAAAATTTACTAAAAATTATTGAATTATATACTCGAAATGGATGAATTTTATGATATGTAAAATATAACTCAATATAAAAACAAAACAGTTGCCATCAACTCCAACTCATGGGAACCCCATGGGTGTCAGAGTAGAACTGTGCTCCACACAGGGTTTTCAATGGCTAATTTTTTTAAAGTAGATTGCCACGCCTTTCTTCCAAGGTGCCTCTGGGTAGACTCAAACTTCTAACCTTTTGGTTAGCAGCCAAGCGCATTAACCATTTGTACCACCCAGGGACAATATGTTCTTGTTGTTGCGTGCCGCTGAATCGATTCTGACTCATAGCAACCCTACAGGACAGAGTAGAACTGCCTCATAGGGTTTCCAAGGAGCAGCCGGTGGATTCGTACTGCCAACCTTTTGGTTAGCAGCCTGAGCTCTTAACCACTCTGCCACCAGGGCTCCAGGGACAATACAGCTGTTATAAAAAAAAAAAAGAACGAAAGAATGCCTGGACCTAGACGTCTTTGGATCCTTCTGAGGGAGCTTCTCAGAGTGAAAGTTCTGGGCAGGAATGAGGCTGGGACAAATGAAAAACACACAGCGTGGCACGGTGAACAAGAGTACTGATTCTAGTCAGACTGTGTGGGCTCACATCCCAGCTCCGGCAAGTCCTCATCCTCTCGGGGCCTCAGCTTCTCTGTCTATAAAGGATGGGTTTAGTAACACCCACTTCCTTGGACGGTTGTGATAATTAAAGGAAATAATAAAGCACGTCACAACGCTTGCTGTCACTGTTGTTAGGTGCCGTCAAGTCGGTTCGGACTCCTAGTGACACTGCACGCCAGAAGGCAACTCCGCCCTCCTGCGCCATCCTCACAATCGTTGCTATGCTTGGGCCCACTGTTGCAGCCACTGTGTCAGTCCATCTCGTCGAGGGTCCCAATCCTTCGCTAACAGTAAATCTAGCAATTGTTATTATTCCTAAGAGTATCCTTGGAATATCCTACCCCTGGGAACAGGGTTCTGCCAGAGCCTGGGTGGAGAGGCGTGGAGTGACTGAACGGAAGCTCCAGGAAGCAAGTTGACAAGATGGATGGACACGGCCGGGGGAGCAAACCCACGGCCCAGGGCTAGAGGCCACCTACCAAGCTTCACCTTCTTCCTTCTCTCTGTAAGTTTCTGGGTCCTCTCTGCTGCCTGCCTCTTGGCTTTCCTGACCTTGTCATATGCAGCCTGGCGGGAGGAAGGGACACAGAGCAGCGGGTCAGCCAGGGGACGCCAGTAAGGCCCAGCCATCTCCCTGGCGCCTCCCAAGGGCCTGCCTCTGCAGAGCCGCTGGGAGGCAGCCTGGTGACTGGGTCTCCAGGCTTGACAGCAAGGACTGTGCCACACGGCAGAGTGCAGATGATCAAAGCTGAAGGAAGCAAGTGGGCAACCACTCGTTGGTCAACCCAAGAAACCACAGGCCAGACAAATGAGGACGCGCTTACCCTGGCTGCAGCATCAGTCAGCACCTCTAAGGCCTGAGAAAGCTGGTGAAAGAGTTCAGCTAAACACAGGATCAAAAAAAAAGAGGAGAAGAGCAGGGTTAGACTCGGTGATGGTATGCTCCCTCAAAACAGCCCTTCCAAGAAGCCGCAGGCTGGCAGAAAAGCCAGTGTCAGCAGGTGACGGGCCAGCAAGGAAGGGTGAGTGTTTCAGCAGCTGAGCAGATGCCCCAACACGGGAGGTGAAGCCTGGGCCCCACTGCCCAAAAGGCAGGCTGTGTGCAGCTACACTCCCCAGCACCCGCTGGAGAGCTCAGCTCCAGGAAAACATAGTGCCCGTGCCCACGGGAGGCTCACCTGCTCTGGGATTATCCGGATTTTTGTCTGGGTGGCAGGAGAGGGCCTTCTGTCTGTATGCCTTCTTCACCTGGAAGAGTCAGAAGACACGGCCATTTGCTCCTTGCCCAGATCTCTCCCCGAGGGATGAACAGGAAAACCTCGCTAGAGTGATAAGGGAAATACAGGGGGTGCCCGCCATCACCCCTGAAAAGAGAGGCTGCTGGCTCCCACACCTACACGGTCACTTCACAACCACCACGGGGATTTGCAACGGAAGAGACTGTTTGTGGAGGGAGCCGGCCATTGCCCACCCGCGTAGAGCTGGGCCTGCTTCCAGCCCGGTGCATCTCACCCCAGTGGACGTCAAAGGGCTCCTGGAAGGGGTAGCAGTATAGTACCCTGGGTTTCTACAGCCACTTGGAAAAAGGTACTCTCACATACTCTCAGCAGGAGTGTACACTGGAACAAGCTTTCTGGAGGAACACTTAGTCATCGGATTTAAAAACTCCTCGGAATTGGGACTTGCAGAAGTATGCCAAAATAAACATACAAGGATGCTCACTGCAACACTGTTTATAATAGCCCCCAGCTGAAACTACTGCCCAAATCCACATTAACAGGGAGACTCATTAAAAAAACCATGATAGAGAAAAGTATCTCTAGGTGCTGACATAGAAAGATCTCTAAGGTACGCCGCGTGGAAAAAGCAAGGCTCAGAACAGACTACATAATATGATCACTTTTGAGTTTAAAACAAACAAATGAAATATTAATAGTTACAGATACTCCGGTAGGTATAGTTTTGTTTTTTTCTGAAAGCAATCATAAGAAACACGACAGTGGCTTCCTTTGGAGAGCCTGAAGCTGCGGGGGAAGGAAGTATGGATCTACTTCTCATTTATGCCTTCTGTAGTTCAAATTTTCAAACATAGAACAAGGCTTATTGTATTATCATGTTTTATTGTCAACAAGGGTTATCCTAATAGCGAGATTATGGCCCATTTTAAGTTTTCATTTTTGCATCTCCTTGTATTAAAGGTTAAAAAAAACAACCCTAATATTTCTTATATTGGTAAAAATAAACAAGCAAAGCTACCAAGATTCTCTTTCCTGTATTTGCTACATAGCTGTTCTAAGTGAAGACAGAAGAAGATCTCAGAATCTGCTCTGCCTCCTCAGGCCTCCAGCCCCCCACCTCGGCTCTGCCCATGCGATGTGCTGCTCCAGCCTCCTGGGAAAAGAAGCCTCTGGACCTAGAACTTCCAGAAGCAGCTAAGCAGACTGGCTTTCCTGGCTTCAAGATGGCCCCAATAAATACTTCTAAGCCAAAGTGCTAAATAAGGGTCTCCTGAGGCAGCCAGCCAGGTCTACCAGGAGAGGGCCTGCTGGGCAGGTGCCTGACTCAACTCCTGCCTCCACAGCCCAGTCAGGGCAGGCAGCCAACTTACCCAGGACCTGTGGGGGAGTGCTGCCACCTGCTGGGCCCTGGCAAGCACCAGGCCTTCATCTGCCAAGGCAACTAAAGGCCACTTGTGGCTTTCCTGACTGAGCTGGTCTCCTGACAAGCCTGGTCGTAGGACAGGCCTTGGGCATCAAGGGAGTAGATGTACCTCCCAGCCGCCCACCTCTGCACACACCTGACCTGCTTGCTCACCTCCCCACCCTACCCAATGAAGGGTTTACAAAAAAATGTTCTACATCCTACTTTGGTGAGTAGTGTCTGGGTCTTAAAAGCTTGTGAGCGGCCATCTAAAATACTCCACTGGTCCCACCCTGTCAGGAGCAAGGGAGAATGAAGAAAACCAAAGGTACAAGGGAAAGATTAGTCCGAAGGACTAATGGACCACAACTACCACAGCCTCCACCAGACTGAGTCCAGCACAACTAGATGGTGCCCGGCTTCCACCACTGACTGCTCTGACAGGGATCACAATAGAGGGTCCCAGACAGAGCTGGTGAAAAATGTAGAACAAAATTCTAACTTACAGAAAAAGACCAGACTTACTGGTCTGACAAGAGATTGGAGAAACCCCAAGAGTATGGCCTCTGGATACCCTTTTAACTCGGTACGAAGTCATCCTGAGGTTCACCGTTCAGCCAAAGATTAGACAGGCCCACAAAACAAATAATAATACATGTAGCCCAACCATGCACACAAGACTAAAAGGGGCAAGGACAAGAAGGCAGGAGGGGCAGGGAAGTGGGACACATGGAAATGAGGAACCCAGGACTGAGAAGCAGAGAGTGTTGACATGTGGCAGGGTTGGCAACCAATGTTACAAAACAATCTGTTTATTAATTGTTTATTGAGCAACTAATTTGCTCTGTAAACCTTCATCTAAAGCACTACATACATACATATAAAGTTAAAAAAACGAAGGGAGGGAGGTGATAGCTGTATATAAAGTCCTACATTTTAAATGTCATCTTTACTCTTCACGTCCCTTATTATTCGACTTTTCTCCCTTTTTTTGCTTTTGTGCTCCTGACCTCATTTCTTTTCATTGTGCCCCCGACCTTTCTTTTTTATTTTAAACCAGCCTTATCGTATATTTTTTATATTTTAGGGTCCTTTATTTGACTTTTTTTTCCCAATAAGTAAAACAATACAAAAAATATACAAAGAGAAAGCCAAACATCTAATGTTCTTTCCCATCTTCCCACTGCTCTCCTCAAGGTTCCAACATCAACTGGATGGGAGTATCCTTCCAAACCTTCCTCCCGGATCATCCAAACAAGTACATGCACCTACATACACTTAGAGGAGTCTTGTGTTTTGTTTCTGGCCTCTCTTTCTAACCCATCTTCTCTCTGATCCCATCTCTGCTCACTCTGAGGTAGGTGAAAGGACGAGGCAGGGAGAAGGGGCCCATCTCCTTGGGTGTCTATTGGCTCAATCTGCAACACTGCCCTTGGCATGAACTTCCTTAGGACTAGGATTAGTAGGTATGCCTTTAATGTGGAGGATTTTTTTTCTTTTGTACCCAGGAACTCTTTTACAGTAGTTCATATGTTCCTTTTTGTAAGTCTAAGAAGGAGAGCAGAAAAGAGAGACAAGAGCCAGTAAGAAAGTAAGATAAAACAGGTAGGGATGAGCTGGGTGGTAGCATATTCTTCATTTTCTATTTTTAAAATTTTTATTTGAGAGAATACTTTAGGGATTTTATTCTAAAAAAAATAAAACCAAACCCACTGCCATCAAGTCAATTCTAACTCATGGCGACCCTATAAGACAGAGTAGAACTGCCCCATAGGGTTTGCAAGGAGTGGCTGGTGGATTCGAACTGTCAAGCTTTTGGTTAGTAGCCAAGCTCTTAATCACTGTGCCACGAGGGCTCCTTTATTCTAAAGGAAAGATATTAAATATTGTTTTCTGTTTCATAATTAATTTACCTGTGGCCATCGAGCTGATTCTAACTCATAGTGACCCTACAGGACAGAGTAGAACTGCCCCATAGGGTTTCCAGGGCTGTAAATCTTTATGGAAGCCAACTACCACATCTTTCGCCCATGGAGCGGCTGGTGGGTTTGAACCACACACCTTTCAGTTAGCAGCTGAGCACTTAACCACTGAGCCACCAGGGCTCCTATAATTCATTCAGGATGTTATATATCCGAAAATTGGCTATTCACTGAAATAAGGAAACAAAATTGTTTAAAGTGAAAAATATCAATTATGTAATAATGGGAAATTAAGATACAAATATTAATTTGCTTCCTGATTCTCTTTTCAGAATTTGTTCCTCTGACAAATGTCATTGATAGTCTGTGAGGTAAAGAATTTGGGCTTTGTCCTTGGTTCCTAAGACGTAACCTATGCAACCCTGGCATTTCCCAGTGACTGAAATGTCTTTGATGAGGCTTCCAGACCACAGTGAGGGTTTATGCTAATGTTTATGCTTCTGGGCTGGCCAGGCCAGAAAGACCTACTGGAAAATCAGTGGACCTCAGAGAAGGGGAGCTGAAGGCTGAGTTCAATCAATCAAGGCTATATAATGAGGTCCCAGTAAAGGCTTGGAGAAGGAAGCTCCCAGGCTTCCTGGTTGATGATATACATCAAAGCACATGGGAGGGTAGGGCGTCCTTTTTGGGACGTGGAAACTCCGCACTGGGAACCTTTCCAGACCTTGCCCTATGTCTCTTCTTTTGTATCCTTTTTGCTGTAATAAAACTTTAGATATGGCACCTTCTGTGAGTTCTGTGAATTCTTCTAGTGAAATGTGGAACGCAAGGGAGTAGTGAAAGTCAGCAGGTCAGAAGTGAGGGGAATCCTGGGGATGCCTGAGGTTACGGAAGTGATGGGAGCCCCAGGGGCACCCGAGGTTCCAGACAGTATTCTGAGGGGGCAGAGGGAACTCCCCAGTTTGTAGCCAGCAGGTCAGACGTGAGGGCGTCACGGTGGCTCCCAAGATTGCATCTGGCATCTGAGGTCTTACACAGACTTGGTGGTCTGGAGGACCATGCCCTTTACTTGTGAGATCTGACCTCGCTCTGTGTGGTTAGGGTCAGAGGAAGAAGTGTGTGTGTGCTGCCGATGTCAGAACAGAAGTGGGACAGAACTGATAATAAACTGATTTGCACTGAGCAACGCAGTCTGGTGTCAGAGAAGTGGGATTTGATATCCTTTCGGTTGGTGTGAGAAGTGGGACTCTGCACTGTACTTACATAGTCTCATCAAATTTTATTTGAAGCAACTAATTATGGAGCCCTGGTGACACAGTAGTTAAGAGCTCAGCTGCTAACCAAGGTTGGCAGTTCAAATCCACCAGGCGCTCCTTGGAAACCCTGTGGGGCAGTTCTACTGTGTCCTATAGGGTCTCTGAGTCAGAATCAATTCGACGGCAACAGGCTAGTAGAGCTACACCGAGGTGATCTCACTCCCCATCTGAATGGACACCAGCCTATCCCCAACTACCCAGGCTCCCACACCCGCAACGTTTACAACCAAACACAACTGCCCGAGTCACACTGGTGTATCCTGGACCCCCACTCCCTCCAGGGCTAGCCTGTGCCTGTACCCAAACCACCTTCTAAAGGTGCAGGGGGCTAGGCACTCTGTTTCCCGGTTTTCTAGTAAAAAAATTACCA